TTTTAGGTCTGTGTGAATAACCACTTTTTAAAAATAAAATACAAGTTCATTTTAATGAAGCCAAAAAGGCAATTTAAATGACATTTTTAAAATTAAAAAAATTAAAAAAAGAACTTTCATTTTTCATTTTGTAGCTGTAAAGCTTGTTATTTTATGAAAGAAATTATTGGGTGACTCATCTGTTTTGACATGATGTGAAATAATATAGCATGTCAGTACATATTATTCACACTACTAGCATGTACATGTATAATAAACATCAATAAAGACCATATACTGCGGAACTAATTTTCACTGAAAAAGCTTTTGGAGTTTTTTGTATGGAATTTATTTTCACTGATTTTTGATGAGTTGAATGTGAGACATAGGAACAAAAGTCTAATCTGGGTTTTAATGTCACTGAAGCAACTCTTCTGCGAAAATAAATTCCAAGCCGAAATAAAGTATTCTACTGTAGTTGCTGTAGTGCAAAACAAATATAGTTTTGTTCTTTAATGGCAAGATTTTGAAATTTTAGATGTGTTTGCAGATGAAAAACAAACTGTAATTTGTTTTTCTTTCCTATTTCATGGCAGTATTCAAATAATAAAAACAAATAACGATTTCCTCCAATATATGCACGTAATTGAGTTTAAACCAAGTATATTAACATTAGGCTAAGCAAAACATATTTTACATGAACCTCCTGAACTAGCAACCAGTGGGAAATTGGACTCCTAAGCTGACAAGATCATATTGCTTCTTTCCATTGTAAGGAAGGTAGATTGAATGCTTGAGAAATATTATTGGATTCCAAATTCAATGAAACCCTTTGTGATTATGGCAGTATATTTTTTACAGATTCTTTCCTGACATCCTAACAAAACAGCTGCTTGCCTCTCATTATATATACAAAACAATTACTTTTTCCAATACTTTCCTTTCACTGGTGTTGAATTTGTTATAGATTAAAGCAGATCCATTACTGATATTTGAGAGAAATGAAATTGTAAATGTAGAAGGTGGCTTTGCAGCCTCCTTTACTGACACTGTCCCAATCTCAATGTAATCAATAAAGTGCATCTGCAACAAAACATGAATCAGTTACACTGAAATCAATAGTTTTGTGTAAACCTTTGGCCTTTTAAAGAAAAGAAGGATTAGAAATAAACGAATAGATACAGGAGCTCCCAATAGAATATTTGCTGGCATTTGATGTGCATGTCACGATTTTCTTCAGCTGTTCATAATTTTACTGCATGAAATGGATTACAGGCTGAATGTAGTTTCACATCACCATCGCAATTAGCTCAAACATACTTTAAAGAAGATGTAACTACTAGTATTCAAATTCAGAGTGTTAACTGGCAGTTTGTTAAAACAGTGTATAAGTAAATACAGAGAGCCAGCTTAAAAACAGATAACAAAGGGTAGTTCATTTGCCATCACTCTTGCATAACAGTGATTAACAAGAGTTTATTCACAGGGGACTTACTTTTTCTTTCTTGCTGTCAAGGAATTCTTGACCAATGTTCAAGCAATCATGGTGTACAATCAGTACGTACTATGATATTTATAGTTGCATATTGTAAAAAAAATGGACAAGTGGAAATTTGTAAGAAAATGTCTTAGCAGTGAAATATGCAGGTTTCTTCCTAAATTATTTTTCCAAGGTGTTGCCTGTACCACAGTTCCTTTATCACTCTATATAGAGCGACTGTGCATGTATGCTGATTTGACTAGAGATATTTTTCAAGGTCCATTATATACCGTAGTCAAAATGGGGTTTAACCAAGGACCACATACTTTAGTTTAGCTGGAATTAATTATTGCTAAAAAGGCATTTTGGGTATTTTGTATGGATATTATTTTCACTGACTTTTGACAAGTTGAATGTAAAATATAGAAATAAAGATATATACTCTGGATATTATTTTCACTGAATAATTCTTTCAGCAAAAATAGCGACAAATAATTCAAAGCGAATATTTTACAGTACTCTTGTTAATGATACAAAAATAATATTGACTACTACTTGTATATGGGCAGGATTTTGATGCTTCAGGACATAGAAACCACACACTTGAAAGGCTAATTTGTGATGATATTGTTAACTGTCTAATGTATGCCTTGGGTGAAATATAATGAGAGAAAGAGTTTGTTGTTATTTCATATCATTTAGCAAGTCAAAATTGCTGTGGGAACATTGTCTGACTAGTAACAGAGAGAAAACGTTCAATTGTGGACAGGTGAATTGGTGTTCATAAGGCATTACAGCAACCTCAAATGCTATGTTATTCATCTATAATATTTTGCCTCTAGATCTCATCCAATTTGTCTTACATGTTGGCTAATTTTGTTTTTGTCCATATGCCCATTTATCTGATCAGAAGTACTTTAATTAATAGCTGTCAGATGGCAATTTATCTGATCGGAAGCACTACAATGGCTGTCAGATGGCCTTTTATCTGCTCGGAAGCACTTAAATGGCTGTCAGATGGTCATTTCCTCGATTGGATGTACCTAAATGGCTGTCAGGTGGCCTTTTTTTTAATAAACTTGTCACAAATCACTGCCTGAGTGACTGTGAAGAAATTGTATTCATCATTGTGCCCTGGCAAAATTTGTTTATGCCAGCGTATAAGTCTATTATCTATGTCTATATATATTACTTGATTTATATTGCATATTCTATTTTTTTTGTGATTAGTGAAAGATGCAATTACTTTTATAGGTACAACTCGAGACAATTTTGAAGATAAAAAAGTTATTAAGTTAGAGTATGAGGCATATGTTCCTATGGCTGAAGCAGAAATGCGGAAATTATGTCATCAAATAAGAGAGAAATGGAATGTTGAAAAGATTGCGATTATTCATCGTATTGGGTAAGTATTCCTATCGCATTTCATTGACTGTAAAATACTTTATTTTAGTTGGAATTAATTTTCGCTGAAAAGACTTTTTGGGTGTTTTGTATAGAACTTATTTTCATTGATTTTTGACGAGTTGAATTTAAAATATACAAAAAAAGATATATTCACTGGATTTTATTTTCACTGAATAATTCCTTCGGCTGAAATTAATCCCAAGTGAAAATAAAGTATTTTACAGTACATTAAAGGAAAGGTCAATCCTGTCAATATTGTTGGCCATATAGCAGCAGTTATGTACACTTATTTAAATAATGGACAAAACAAATTAAAAAAATAAAGAAATAATAGAGTTATGATACCATATAATATTCCATATAGTCGCCGCCATCTTGTCAATTTTCAAGCGCCCTCTATTGGGTCAAACAGAATGCGAGCAGGATTTATTTGTGCATTGTGACGTCAAAGGCTAGGTTAATTAGTGTCCAACTTCGGGGGTTACACAATGTATAATG